ATTTACCTATAGTTTTCTCAAGATAATGAGTTAATTTACAGATGGATTTATCAAGATGAGTTAATTTACCTATAGTTTTCTCAAGATAATGAGTTAATTTACAGATGGATTTATCAAGATGAGTTAATTTACCTATAGTTTTCTCAAGATAATGAGTTAATTTACAGATGGATTTATCAAGATGAGTTAATTTACCTATAGTTTTCTCAAGATAATGAGTTAATTTACAGATGGGTTTCTTGAGATGAGTTAATTTCCTGATGATTTCTCAAGATAACGAGTCAATATACAGACGGTTTTCTCCAGATAACAAATTAATTTCCCAATAATTTTCTCCAGATAGTTATTTTCTTGATAACTAGTTAATTTCCTGATGGTTTTCTCCAGATAAGTTAATTTCCTGATGGTTTTCTCCAGATAAGTTAATTTCCTGATGGTTTTCTTGTTATCTGTAATTTCCCCATGTTTTTTTTTTTAGATGAACCATTTTACCGATGTCTTTTTGAGATAACTAGTTAATTTCTTGATGGTTTTCTCCAGATAACAAATGAATTTCCCAATGGTTTTTTCGAGATAATGAGGTATTTTACCAATGTTTTCTTGAAAGAACTTGTTAATTTTTTGATTTCTTAAAATAAGAAGTTAGGTAAGTAAGTAGTTTATTTATATAGCATCTCTCATAAATCACAATAAAAGCAAGAAACAATTAAATAAATTTCAAATCCTCACAAAAGCATTACATTCATACAAAAGTACAAGTAAAAAAAGAAAGAAAAAATTAACTAAAAGCTGTTTGTAAGATAAAGCCTTAAGATGTTTTTTAAAAGCATCACTAATCAAGGCTGTACAGATTGGGGCAGCAGTGCTTTCCAGAGTCTGGGTGTAACTGTTGGAAAGACCCATCCCTCAGGAGCTACCACCTACAACCTGACCTGATGACCTCAAACTGCAGGATGGTGTGTGAAGTGGATCAGAGTTAATTCCCAGATAGTTTTCCTCTTGTGCATCATTCAGTAATCATGGAGACGGCTTGGTCCCCTATAAAGTTTATTAAATCAGCAGGATCACTGAAGTGTAACTGTATGTGGAGCTGCAGATATGAAAGTTATCTGTACAAGACAAACTGTAATTTCAGCCTGTGATCACTGCGTCGGTTCTCCATGATCTGACATTTTCAGCTTGACTTTGTTCTCAAGGTTTTAAGAACAGAAATTGATCATGACGATCATCCAAGAAATCATTATCATCTCATCTCCAGAAAAAGATTGTTATCTCATGATGATGACATAACTTGTTGTCTAGAGAAAACCATGTCTGCTCTCAGCTTTCTGTCCACTAAACTTCACAGAAACTGAATGTGTGTTGTGTGACTGACTCTGTGAGAATCTGTAGAGAAGATATCCAACCACAGCAAACGCTCCCATCTGCACGTTACTGCCACTCATCCAACCTGAAGGAACAGATTCACAGACAGCCTTTATCTCAAACATTAAATACTCAGACATCTTGTTAGTACAGTGTTTGTTTGTTGGAACGTAATGATTCACCTGTCACTGCAGCTTTATTCTGACAGGAACTTTAAATCCTATAAGAGTTATTTTGTTGTAGTGACGTGTCGTTCAAAAGCAACAGCTTTAAGAGCTGCTTTGTAGTGAGTCAGAAGAGTCGACTCCCATCAAGTGACAACCAGCTCCAGAAATTTCCTTTTCTTGTTACCAATCACATGAGGATATAGGACATGGGTGGGCAAACCTAGTCCTTGAGGACCATTATCCTGCATGCTTCACTTGTTTCTCTGCTCCACCCACCTGATCTGAATGAATGAATGATTAATCAGCTTCTGCAGAACTTGAAGAAGTAATTCAGTCAGGATAGCAGCCTTTGAGGACCAGAACTCCCCACCCCTGATGTAGGATCAAACTGTTATATGAAAACAGGGACGTGACAATCAGGTGGATTTCTGTTCATCCCCTCAAGGCCCAGCATGTTGGAGCTGCAAATATGACCAGCTGAAATACCAGGCTACAGAAGAGTGGTGGGCAGCACTAATCTAAATATTAGTTGCACTAACTCAAAGATTTAGGTCCCCTAACGCTAAACCACTAACGCACTGAAAAGTTTAGCAAAAGCTAATTCTAAAGCACTAATATCATGGGTTACACAGTCAAAAATTACCACCTATATTTTTGTTTTATTTAGCCTTTTATAAGAAAAAAAGAACAGATTTATTTTTCAAAGTCAGTTTTTCACCATGATTCATACATTTATAAATGTCATAGTTTATAAACTAAATATTTAACTTACAAATTAAATATTTAGTGAACAAGCTAAATATCTAACTTGTGACTTAAATATTTAGTTTTGAGCAAAATATTTAGCTTGAAACTTAAAAATTTAGATAGCCACCTAAATATTTAACTTTTTAGCTAGCTACCTAAATATTTAAGTTGCAAGCTAAATATTTAATTTAAATGTTTAGGTAGCTAGCTAAATATTTAAGTTTCAAGCTAAATATTTAGCTTGGAACTTAAATATTTAGCTTAAATATTTAAGTCACAAGTTAAATACGGTAGTTTTCCTCACCTGCAGCAGCATCGCCTGTGTTCTGGTCACACTGACACTCCATTTCTCAGCAGTCAACACGGTCTACCTGCATTCAAATAACAAACAGGCCACACTTCTGCTCAGGAGGCATCAATCTGCTAAAAGGTTCTCCGTATGTTCAATCAGAACAACTGAAAGAAGAAAACAGTCCTGCAGTGTAAAATCTGAAGTGTACTTTAGCCCTTACCGCAAGTAAAATGTTTGTTTCACTCCCTGCTGTTTGTTTGTGCCGCTGGGACACGTGGTCAAAGTTTTCTTCCTGCTTTTGACTGTAGTGACACGAAGTAAAGGTATGTAGGTTAACGCCCAAAACGACACACCTTCCTACCATCTGCAAGCAGAACTGGAAATGCTTCTTATCATGTGCTACTTTACAAAGACAGATCAGACCCACTCTTACAACAAAAGGTTTTATTTCATATGCATCAGTTCAGAACATGTAGCTGAATTTTACAAACATGTCTCCAACAGGAGCTTTAAAGGGTCGGTACTTTTTGTAGAGTAAAACTACACAGATATAACAACTTTAAGAGTTGTGAATTAAACATTGTATATCAAAGTGAAATGAGCAGAATCTGATTAAAGCTGTAGCTCATCATAATCCATAATAAGACCTGAACACCTTTGTGTCCTGCAGACCAACTGAACCCACCAGAACCTGGTCTGTGAAAAGAACTCGACTCTGAACCCTGAGTCCTCATGAACCTAACTTGTCAGTCAGAGCATCTATTAGCTCCTGCTTCTTTGTTCCGGTGGTCCGAATCCCAAACTGCCTACAGGCCTCCTTCAGCAGAGGAACCGTCAGCTTTCCCAGAGTGCCGTTCTGCAGGTGGGCTCGCAGTTCAACCTCCGTCAGCTCCACTTTGGGTTTTTTCTCAGTACCCCCTCCAACATCAGCTGAATGGACAAACAACAGATAAATGAACGATATTACACAAAAGTTTTCCATCACCACTTTGTATTCTCTTGTTTTTGTTGCTTTACAACCTGGAACTAAAACAGATGTTAAAGTCCAACACCCACCATGTTTTCAAATTACATATCCATCAAAATCTAACAGAGACATAAAAACTCTGGTATGTTTCACTGACTCGTCCTCAAGGCAGACAGATTTACAGTGGTTTGCAAAAGTATTCATACCCCTTGAACTTTTCCATATTTTGTCACATTACAACCACAAACATAAATATATTTC